CATTGGGGGGCGGGTTTCTAAAAGGGCAGGAGCTTTGGGGGGTGGTGTTCCATAAGGTGAGGCACTTTGGGGGGTAGGGTTCCAAACGGCTGGGAGCCTGTGGGTAGAAGGGAGGTGTGGAAGGTTCCAGAAGGTCTGGGCGCATCCTGGGTGGGGTCCGCAGGCCCAGACCTCAGCCTTGGGTCAGGGGTGCGGTCCTGGGGGGCAGCCTTGGGACAGGAGCCCAGCATAGGGGTCATCAGCCTGCCCAGCTCCAGCCCCACCCCTGCCCGCCTCCCCCTCCCCCTGCTCCGCCCACCTGCGCCCTGGCCTCCTGCCCACAGGTCGGTCAGTCCTGCCCGCGATGCTGCTGCTCTGTGCCCTGCTCCTGTCCGGGCTGCAGCTGGGGGTGAGCGCATGTGAGTGCCCGCCCCGCCATGTCTGAGGGAGAGGCCCCCCCATGGACCCTGGTCCTGTGAAGGTTGGGGTGCGGTTCCCACCCTTCGCCAGCCGGGAGCCTCTGGACCCCGAGACAAGAGGGGTGTATTGGGGGGGAACTTGGTCTGGGGCCGCGCCCTGGAGGCCTGTGGGGCTCCACTCAGGCAGGCAGCAGGGGTGCCGGGTCCAGGGAGATCTGGGGGTACTGGCCTCTGAGGGGGCCGCACCCCCGGAGCAGAGGTCTCCGGCTACCCTGCGGGGTTCCCTGGGCCTGCCTCTGGGAACAGGTGCACTCCCGCTGGACTTGGCTGCGCCCAGGGAGCTGGCCCTGCCCAGCCTCGCAGCCCGCCCAGGGCTGAGCCCTGCGCACCCCAACCTCAAGGCTGGGAGAGGGGCGGGGCGGGCAGGCAGTGCTGGTGCAGGTTCGCCCCTCTCTCCTCAGTCACCTACAACCTGAAATGCTACGAGTGTTCGGCCATCAACACCTTCCAGTGTTCGACTCTTAAGACCTGCGAGTACGAGATCAGGCGCTGTATGACGGTCTCCATCCGTGAGTGCCCTGCCCCCCCGCGCACACGGGCCACCGCGGCGCGTTCAGGGCAGAGCCAGGCGGCTTGGGCTGCGCAGCCCTGGCCCTGCCTGCTCTGTCCGGTCCCAGCGGCATGTGCTCAGGCACTGGTGGGCCCCCGGGACAGCAGTGGGAGCCGCACCGCAGAGCCACGTGCTGGGAGGGCGGCTGGCAGTGGACATGGCTCCCAGGGTCCCCAGAGGCCGGCTGGGAGTGAGGCCGAAGCTCAAGGCCTCCACCTGGTGCCCCCTGAGGCCAGGCGGTTCCTCGTGCCCCAGTGACTCTGGTCTCTGGAGGCCGACCAGCTGCCAGGCCAAGGAGCGGCCGCCCTCTGGCCTCCGGGACGACACCTGCCCCCCAGGAGGCCAGGCGCGGGGCCGGAGCAGAGCCTGACGTCCAGGGAGCTTCTCTTTGTCTCTCTGTCTCCCTTCCTCTCTCTGTCACTAGTGAACATATTCTCGGTGAGGGCAGAGCAGAGGGAACAGGGCATTTCATCGGTGTGGCTGCATAGCGAGCCCATCACTATCTGGGGGCCGAGCGGAGATGCTGGCCGCCCGGAGGGCACACCTGCAGGACCAGTTGCTGGTGGAGTCCCCGATCCTCTGGAGGACTTGGATCTTCTTTCCCAGTCAGGAATTCTAGCCAGGGGCCTGGCCGGTGTGGTTCAGTGGTTGGGCACCGTCCCAGGCACCCAAAGGTTGCGGGTTCGATTCCTGGTCAGGGCACATACCTGGGTTGGGGGCTCGATCCCCATGAGGGGGTGTGCAGGAGGCAGCCGATAGATGTTTCTCTTTCATCGATGTTTTTCTCTCTCCCTCTCCTTCCCTCTCTCTGTAAAAGTCAATTTAAAAATTAAAAGAAAAAGAATTCTAGCAACGTGGTGACATCTGTAGTGAGGCTGTGGGCACGGCACAGTCCCCAATGGGAGTGTGAGCGTGAGCGTGAGCGTGAGCGTGAGCGTGCCTGGTGTTTACAAGCAGAAAACGTGAAGCGGTGGTTTCCTTTCCAGGCCTGAGCTCGCGGGAAGTGCTCGTGTACAAGAACTGCACGAACAACTGCACGTTCGTCTATGAGTCCGAGATGCCGCCCCCGGCACCTAAGGTCCTGAGGACCAACAGCTTCTACTGGGTGAGGTGCTGCGGCATCATGAGCTGTAACGTGGGGGGGCCCACCAACATGGAGCGGGACATCCTTCCCGACCAGACCATCGAGGAGGAGCTAGAAGGGGCCATGCGCCTGGGGGGCGGAGGGCTCTGGGGGGTCCTCCTGAGCTGCGCCTCCATCCTCGTGAGCAGCGCCCTGACATGAGAAGACCTTGCCTCGGTGACCGGGTCCCCCCCCGCCCCCCACCCCCATTCCTCAGAGCAAGTTCACTCCCCTTTGCTGTCTTGTGAGCCAGAGACCCTGACCCTCAGGCCCCCGCTGGCCAGTTGCCATTCACAGCGAGTCACCCAGTTGCGGAGAGAAATAAAGGGCTTCTGTGGAGCTGGTGTTGAGAAGCGTGCTTCCCTCTAACATCCCGCACACAGGCCACACTTTCTCCCAACAAAGCCCAGCAGCTGCAGGGAGGGTGTCCTGGGACAGGGTCCCAGCTGCGCAGAGCTCAGGCCCCTCGGCCCCTCGCCGTCCTGCGGGTCTGGGCTGGGCAGCCGAGCAGAGCCTGTGCCTGGCGCCAGGGCCACTGCCTGCGGACTGCCCTGCGTCCCTGTGTGGTCACCCAGCTCTGCGGGAACTGGTCGTGTTCCCGCAGTGACGGCTGAGTAGGGCGAGGGACCCCAAAGCCGCTGCGATGGCCTGGAAACCCGGGGAGTCTGGCTGCCGCCGCCACTGCGGCCTCCTGCTGCCTGCCTCCCGCCAGTTCTCTAAATCGCTGCCTGACTTTAATTCTGGGACCACAGCCACAGCACAAACTCAGCATCTAACAGGGTGGGACTCGGCATCTTAGCATGTTCACCAGGTGCAGCCATCACTACTCAGGGCAGGACACTCTCACCCCAGAAAGAACCCTGCCTCAAATACGCAGCCCCCTGCTCCCCAGCCGGGCACTGGGCTGGGCTGGGTCTCTGGAGCTGGGTGCCCGGCTCTGGGCAGGTTCCCAGGAGCCGTGTCTGCAGGGGAGGAGGGTGGAGAGAGGTGGGCGAGGAAGCACCACTCCCAGCAGGACCAGCCGGGAGGACTCCCATGGAGGTGGAGACCCCAGAGTCACCCTGAAGGCAGGAAACGCAGGGGCGGTGTAAAGGCACCCACCTGAGTGGGGCTCTCAGCCCGTGGCCCTGAGGCCTGCGGCAGCCTCTCCAGGGCGGTGAGGGTCAGAGCAGGAGGCGGAGTGCCTGCGGGGGAAGGACCCCTGGCGGGGGTAGGGCGTCAGCCTGGGACCCTGTCCTGATGAGGGAGACGCTGCAGCTGCTCGTCCTCAGCTCCTCTCCCCGATCCCAGGAGTCAGGAGAGAGGGGACTCTACTGCACGAACTCGGACTTCACCCCAGTGTCCCCAGAGTGGGGACACCCCATTCTCCCGTGCTCTGTCCTGCCTCCGGACCTGGGGCCAGGTGTGCAGCACAGCCTCAGCATTCTGGGCAACCCCGGCCTTTCCTGCAATTAGGATTTGGGGTGTGGGGACCCCTCTTCTCCAAAGCCATGCGCGCTCCCAGGCCTAGGACCGGAGCACGGATTGGCCCGGGGTGTGCGGTGCCAACTCTGCGTCAGTGCGCAGGGCAGGTGAGCAGGTGACAGCGTGGGCTCTGGCCCGCAGAGGACCCCGCAGAGGGGTCTCTGGCCGGGTCTCCGATGGGGAGGATGGAAGGGGTCGCAGTGCTCATTGAAGGATGGGTCTGCGGAAGGAGGCGCGGTGCAGGGGCTGGAAATAGGCACCGGGCGCACTCGCCCCTCCTGCGCCCCTAGCGGCGGGGCCAGGCACTGCCGCGGGCTGCGCTTAAAGGATGTGCTGAGCAGAACCGGGACCCAGGCGGCTGGGCTGGGAGGGAAGGTGGAGGCGAGTCTGTTACTGTTGCAAACGGTAGACACCCAAGGTCGGGGAGAGATTCTAAAATCAGGTGTGAACACGAACCAAGGAAATCGCGTTCAAAAAGGATCCGACCCGGCCCGCGTGGCTCAGAGGTTGAGCGTCACTGGTTTGATTCCCGGTCAGGGCACAGGCCCAGTTGCTGGCTCCATCCCCAGTGTGGGGCGTGCAGGAGGCAGCTGATCCATGATTCTCATCGTTGATGTTTCTCTCTCCCTCTCCTTCTCCCTTCCTCTCTGAAATCAATTAAAATATATTTATAAAAAATGGATCCAGGGTCCCCAGTGGGGAGCCCCTGCACAGACCCTGACAAGCAGAGGCAGCTACATCGGGGCTCCAGCAGGAAGAGGGGAGCTCCTCCTTGCCAGCCAGCCCAGCGGGGGCCAAACCCTCGCCAGGACACCCCGACTCTCCAGTTCCCGCCCACAGGCCTTGGGGCTCAGTTCAAAGCCCCTCCCACTTCCTCCTTTTTCTCTGTAAACTTCCACCTGTGTTTGCAGAACTCAGTTTTTGGGATAGCATGCTTGTTCCGGATTACACTTCTCTGCTATTCCCTAGCAAACCCCAAATTAGACTGGGTGTGTGGGGCAGGCTGGACTGTCCCAGGCTCACCCTGCAGGCCCCCGGCTGCTGGGACACCCCGTTTATCCAGTTTGCCGCCTCCTGGGTCCTGGGGAGTATCAGCTGCCCACGCTCAGGAACATGCGCGTCCTGCATCCTGGCTCCTTGCTGCCCAGACAGCCACCCCCGGGGACCCCGAGAAAATTACCCCCGCTCTCCTCCCCGACCCAGCGCCTCCTCTTAGAGGCTCCAGGAGGGAAGTGGGCAGGCGGCTCCTGTGCGGGGCGCACGCAGAGGCCACACCCTGAGACAGCACAGCGAGGCTGGCCCTCTCCCAGCTGCAGGGGGCGGGAGGCAGCGGGCAGGCTGGGGCAGAACAACTCCCAGCAGCCCTGCTGCTCAGGCCACTGGCTTCCCACCAACCGGACACCTAGCAGCCAGCCCCTGGCGGAGGTGCTCTGTGTCCTGAGACGGGGCAAGGTTCTTCCTCTGTGTCCCCACATGCTGGTCACAGGTCTGAAGACTAGGACAGCTTGCCATGGCCAAGGCTCAGGCTTCACAGGGGACCAGGGTCAGGGCTCAGAGTGTGACCAGGGTCAGGGCTCAGAGTGTGACCAGGGTCAGGGCTCAGAGTGTGACCAGGGTCAGGGCTCAGGGTGTGACCAGGGTCAGGGCTCAGAGTGTGACCAGCATCGGGGCTCAGGGTGTGACCAGGGTCAGGGCTCAGAATGTGACCAGAGTCAGGGCTCAGGGTGTGACCAGGGTCAGGGCTCAGAGTGTGACCAGGGTCAGGGCTCAGAGTGTGACCAGGGTCAGGGCTCAGGGTGTGACCAGGGTCAGGGCTCAGAGTGTGACCAGGGTCAGGGCTCAGAGTGTGACCAGGGTCAGGGCTCAGGGTGTGACCAGGGTCAGGGCTCAGGGTGTGACCAGGGTCAGGGCTCAGAGTGTGACCAGGGTCAGGGCTCAGAGTGTGACCAGCATCGGGGCTCAGGGTGTGACCAGGGTCAGGGCTCAGAGTGTGACCAGCATCGGGGCTCAGGGTGTGACCAGGGTCAGGGCTCAGAGTGTGACCAGGGTCAGGGCTCAGAGTGTGACCAGGGTCAAGGCTCAGGGTGTGACCAGGGTCAGGGCTCAGAGTGTGACCAGCATCGGGGCTCAGGGTGTGACCAGGGTCAGGGCTCAGAATGTGACCAGAGTCAGGGCTCAGGGTGTGACCAGGGTCAGGGCTCAGAGTGTGACCAGGGTCAG